CCATATTAGCCGTGACCCACCAATTCTCTAGGTGTCACTGCGTTCATATTTTAGATATCTTTACCATAGGAAAATGGTAATAGACACTCCATATAATATACAATGGCTATTCAATAGCTCAGATATCATTTGAATTCTTCATATTTTCATTTATTCGATATTGTACTACTAGTATAAATATTTGATTAGATAGATTACGTTACAAAAACAGTTAACAATGACGACAACGACGACGATAACGACACACAGATACACAGTATGGAGATGCGTGTACGTGAAATGTGATGTAACAATGATAGAAACGTGTGGGCAATAGACTCATTATCAAGAAACGCTAGCATCACATACACAACATTCAACACATTATCACTGAAACAAAGGTCCATTTTCAGCAGAATAAATCAATAATGTTTCATGTGAGTATGTAGAAATTTCTAAAATACACAGTAATGTGTTTAAAACTCGACGATACACTCCAATCAATACAATCGGAAGTGAACTTGAATCACGGTCACATCCTTGAGATGGATCCCCACCACATTATCTATACCATCAATTACAGGAAAATCCGAACCGTAATCTCTCAAACTGTCTGGGCTACATTTTATATTTAATGTCATTTAAATGAACGGTCGTTCGGGGTCCGCTCCAGGCAGATGACCTAACCTTAATCTATTTTATGAACAGACATGTCATTGCATTATATATAACACTTTTCTTCACAATAATGTTTGGCATGGCAACTGTCTGTGAAACATATGATTGAAATGATGATTGACACTGAAAAGATCAGAATATATTTAGCCTAGTGGCACACCTGGCACAACACGATCGTGTCCAATCTTCGGGTCAGAACATAGATTTTAAAGTTCCGATGTTTTCAATTTACATTTTTGAATTGATTCGGATTATTGCAAATTGTAGTAATTAATGAAGCTGAACAGTGTTCTGACGTGTCTGCACAAACAAAATGCTTTGTTGCTGGAACTGGAAAGTGTAATCTGGTTATTACGAAAAACTCGCGTGAAATGTAAGCGACAACAGAAAATCGCCATTATTTATAGCTATTGAATTGTCAGGAAATCGGTACATTAGGAGAAAAATAGAAATTGCTACCATTTAATGAGAATTTCTTTTATATTGGCACATATTGAACAGGAAGTAGTAGTTCTTGGAAAAACAAAACATATACCTTTTGATTATAAATGTGTTACTTGTTAACGACAGCGGAGAACATTACGTCACTGATTGATTGCAATCAGTTTGCGTGTGTATGCTGGGGACAATATGCGTGATAAAACTATGACATTGAAACGGGCATAGGCACGGACACGGACACGGACACGGACACAGGCACGGACACGGACACATGCACGGACACGGGCACGGACACGGGCACGAACAAAGGCACGGACACGGACACAGGCAAGGACACGGGCACGGACACGGGCACGGACACGGGCACGGACACGGGCACGGGCACAGGCACAGGCAAGGGCACGGACACAAGCACGGACATGGGCACGGTCACGGGCACGGGCACGGGCACAGGCACGGACACGGGCACGGACACAGGCATGGACACGGGCACGCACACAGGCACAGACACGGGCACGGACACGGGCACGGAGTATCCGCAGTTATACATTGATTTTTCGTACACCTTGCAAATTAACGCGATACACATATTGTCGTTGTAGTGAAAGAACAGTGGTTGGTGAATCACTGTATCTGTTGCAATGTACATGGGATGCTGATCATTTGTATTATTACAAAAGGCGTCTGCAATGGCGCTAAAAGATTGATTAATTAATAAAAGAAAACTATTAAAATTATACAATGCTTTTTTCTGTAAAAATGATACTTTTAAAATATTTCTACTGATACTATTAGTACTAGTACTTAAGGCACGTCTTAGTTTAAAAAAACTAATTGTATAGCAATATTATAAGCAACTTTCATTTTGTTTAGCTGCCAACCACTATAATTACTATAACTGAATATTAAGACAATAAATACTGTTTAAAAACGCTCTAAAAAATGGACATTTCACGTTCTCTGAAAAGAGACCGAAATTACGCAAAATCATACTCGCCGTTGCATATATTAACCTTAACTGTCTTTGCATATCTTGACAATCACTGCCTGACAATGACACAACGTAACCAAGATATTTGATAACTGAAACATACTGAAACGATGTAGCGAGTTATTCATTTGTCGTGGCATTATTTCCATTTCTGTTCAGAGAGGACGCCCTCTAGTGTCTTTTATAATGATTCATTATTCTGTCCGCGTATTGTAATAGGTCTGGTTTTGAAAAGAGCAACAATAATTTACAGTATTTCAGTGAATTTTATTTCTTTTTTAATCGAGAGTTTCAAATATGACCGGGCTCCGACTGTTAGTGTATTTATATAAATTTCTTAGGTTCACTTTAAAAAAAATCAGACATTCCCCTGTTTGTATTGATCTAAACGGCGGGGTTTCGACAGAATAACCAAAGTGTAGCAGTAGCATTATTTGTTCAATCGTCAGTGTATAGGGTGCTCTCTGTTGGAAATCTGATTCCATAGCGAGCTAGAACCGAGAACGAAATAATACCTTATATAACATAATTGGTTGGAGTATGGCTAACACAACACGTCGCGAGAAACTGTCATTTTGCAAATCAAAAGAAACGCCTGCTACACAACAGCGGGACGCGATCTATTTTAAAGCGCCAACGCATGCCTTTCAAGAAAACTAATGAAATTCACAAGGGCATAGAAATAATTACATGTTCTCCATTTAATATCGGTTGAGGTACAAACCAGTGTCACGCCAATTTGAGTTGAGTTTCCTAATCAACTGCGGTGCTTTGTATCCACAAACTCAAGGATACGAAGCTGTCTTTCAATAGTTTCACGCTCAGCAATGACGCGTTGACCAAAAAGTAACTGTGCCTTTTGCGAACCTCGGTACAGATAGGTGGCGGACAATTACGTAATTGTAAATATTGTATGACAAATGTGTAAATTCCCCAGCGTTTGACTTCCGATATTTTAACATAGGCAATTAAGTTAATCGGTGACAGTGACATTTAAAGCACTACTGTCGCCACGCCGCGCCGCGCCACGCCGTGTTCGACGTGAGTTTCATGCGACGTATGCAACGTGTGGAACTTGAACGCGCACTTTATAAACTAGTCTCGCGCATGCGTAACAAATCTGAGAAAAAAAAAAGACTAAAGTAGGGATAAATTGTTATAAGTTTAAAACTGGTTGTTTTAATTAAAAAAGTTCTATTCCGCACACTGCATTTAATTACACGCCCCTTTAAGGGTTCCGTGACTGCAAACCATTGATGGCAGAATAGTTTGAGTCATAGTTGCCATGGCAACACGGTGTAGCTGCGTGCGCAACATCTTATAAAAATAGTTCATAAACTCAATGGTGTTGTAAGTGAACTAACAGGCAAAGAATGTATCTCTAGTATTTATAACATAATTATAATCATTACAAGTATATGAGAACGGATTAAACAGTCATTAGTTTTGCATAAAACCGTAAGTCGTATTCATAGGGGTAGCCGTAGAACACACCAATAGATCAATCATACTCCATAACGTGTTTGACGTATCAGTAAAACCGTCTTATTTTTAGGATCTTATTAGCGGCGCTGTCATTAGAAGTGACTTTTGTTTTATCTTGCATGTTATTGTGAATAAAAGCCACCATTATACGAGATGTAAAGGTGTTGTGGCATCGCCATTCGTCTATTACATTCTGAAAATGCATTTGATTTATGTTCGAAAAATTGTTTTTCCATATCTACATGGAGCTTTTGCTAAAATGCCAACGCTCCGTCACGCAGAGCGCCACGCCGTCACACAGAGCGCGTTCGAATTAGTATATATACATAATCAACTGGTAGATATGGGGGGGGGGCTCGTTTTGCTATAAAAAAGTAATTCTTTGCGGCGGAAAAACTCTCGTCACGTATTCATTTACACTTGGTATCGAAGTTTGACCGTTTAATAGACTTAGAAGCGGTCACGCGCCGCCAACGTGTGCTAATAATAACATTTAATAACCCTTTCTTTAATTGGTTGGCTGACATCTCGCATATGTGATAGGTGCCGATTGGAAAATAAGAATAACAAATGTTATTTTCTGGATTTTTTTGGTTGCTATGTGCGCAAAATTTAGCTAATACTATGTGATCATTCACTATAATCGTGTATGACTAATTTGTCTGGTGAAAAAAAACAGATTCCGATAAAAAAATATCTGATATTTTTCACCACCGCGGTAACAAATTGCATTAACAGCAAACATCAAACCAATATCGTATTTAAAGAGCATACCGGACTTAGAAATGGCAGCTTATTGCGTTTCAGCTATCTCCGTTTTAGTACTTGTAATAACCCTTTTAGAGTCGTGTTATGATCGATTTTTATTGACAATAATTTTAAATCAAAATGCATTCCAATACGCTCGGCAATTTGAGCTTGTAACTTCTAAATGTAAACGGCACACTTGTGATATACAATGTTGATGATACGTTGGGGATTTTGGTTATTCTGAAAACAAAATGGTCTAGCTCATTCAAAAGTTCACAAATAAGCTTTTGGTTTACAACTACTGGAGTGCGTATTATTTCAATTTTGCACAGCATTAAGTTTTGCGCAGAGAAATTTTAAACGAACAGAGTCAAATACTGAGCGCAGTGCTACAATAATGTTATTATTAATAATAACAATCTATTGTGAATTACTGTGCTTCAACGTAACTTATCGGAATCATGATAACAGTCACTGCCTTTTCTAGTTTATTCTGACTTAGTTTAGGATCTCTTGGCTGATCTTAAAAAAATAGCTAATGATAATTTTAGTCGGGGTTGATATACAAAATTAACAGCACTTTGATTTGTAGCAACAAGTATTATGTAATTTCGGTAATATATATGAAGTCGCCTCGCTGCATGTATTGAAAACGCACGGTAAACGTGGTACTCACCAACTGCATATAAGCAACAAACCGACACATGAAATCGCCGAACAACCAGTCAGCGGTCAGTGTTATCGTTGTCGTGGTAACGCCGCAACATATCAGAAACATGATGTCCGTCATGGCCAGACTGGAGATATACAAGTTCGTAACGGTCCACATTTTTCGATTTCTTCCAACGATGCATATGACCAGCGAATTGCCGATGATTCCAACCACCGAGATCACCGCAATGCTGACAGCCGGTAGAATCTGAGCTACACCAAGATACCAGTCGCCGTACCACACGTCGTCCGTGCCGTTTGACGAATTCTTCCACATTGCGAAATATTAATTCCTTTCCTGCGATATCATACAATGTTCTGACATGCAAAGTTGGTGATAATGCAAATTGGGATATCGTGTGTTTTAGTACCGTATGATCCGATGTCTTTTTCCGAGTGTTCAGTACAACGATAATAATAGAGCAATCGTCCGTCTAGTATGGACAGTCACACACACAGCTTTATCAGCGAGCGACTGAGACACATTCAACTACAAAAACCTTGGCACAGTAAGTTAACGCTCGGGAACTGGATAGAATTTCCCAAGCATGTGTCTTTTCTCGCGAGCTGCGCAGAACTGCTTTACTCTGTAGTGGGTGTGTTCAGAAACGGTTGGGCGGACGAGGCTAGCGGACAGATATTTGGATCTCATCTACCAATGTGTGCGATGAAAACTGACTGTGTCTTCTTTCAGTGTCCACCAATATAGTCGCATACACACCTTTAAGAAATGAAGAAATATTAAGAGATTGTGGTGATTGATAGAGCACAATGTAGCCGTTTACGTCATGATTACCCGTTGTACTATTATATGATGATTTGTGCCGGCTGCGGGTTAGTAAATTGCGACCTCCCACGTCTACTGTGTGTGACGTGAAAACAAATACTTTAATAGACGTCTCGTTTAAAATCCAACGGCGGAACACCGACTGTTTTTTCATTGTTAATACGTAGTAGTTTTGACGAGCAATACGCAACGCAACACATTATATACATAACAGATTACCGTGCTAGTATCAATATAGTGGTCACACCCATAATATAACACAATATATACTTATGATGTCATAGATCTTACGCTTGCGAGTTATATAATTTATGCTGATTATACGTGACGTCTAAGCGCGTTGATGGACGCACATTTTGTAGTAACAGCCGCCAAAGGTTTTTGAAATCAGCAGAAATGTTTCCCAACTTATTTAATGAAAATAAAATAAATTTTCTGTCGTCATTGTTATTAGTATCTCTGTGTATAATATTAAATACTATTGAGGGCAGTACAACAAACAGGAACGGCAACTTTATACGCGAGGTGCATAGACCAGAAATCCTGTCTAATGTGGATTGGATTAAAAGTTCACTTAATTGGAAATGTGTTGCTAATGCGTTTTATTAATGTCCGAAAGACCGCGGTATACCGTTTTCGTATGTGCGATGAAATAATTACTTGTGAATGTAAAAACAAATTGCATATTGTCATTGGAGACTGGGACATGATAGATCTTGCAGTGCAGTCTTTTACAAAATGATCATTTATTTGGTATAATAATACAAATAACAACACGACTACATACAACTAGTATCTTCGTTGTATGATGGATGGTTAGTACTTATATTTATATAATGAAAGTAGTGAATCCTCATGTTTCGTGTATTTATGTTAAACAAATTAAATTGTTCATTTGACCGAAAATGTGTTTTTTTTTCTTGTCTTGCTTTGTTTTGATCTGACTGAGCCCAGTGTTTTGCTTTGTACCCGCACGTCGCATGTAAATGTTGCGACTTTTGGTGCCAGTTGGTTGTCAAGAGCTTCCATATTAAAATAATAATTATATGAGGGATTTTAGAAGGTATTATAGAATATAAAAATGCAAACTAACCATGAGAAATGTCAACAAATAATACCAAATTTGAACGGGAAGTCGCTGAATGTTGTTATTAGGAACTGCGGAAAGTGAAATCCCTTGCATTTTTATTACAAAATGTGTGTTTTATCACAGAGGGGCTGTAATAATAACTACACAACCGCCGCGGTTGATAGAGGTTTGCATTGCTGACTGAGGCGAACAAATCTGGGTATCGACTTTGGCTGGGTCAGCATTTGTATTGTAATACCGAATAACACACATGTTCTAAAAAACTGCTAGAGATATGCCAGGCATATTGCGCGCATATAATCACACGGTAAATAGAGGGCAATGAACGAGGACCTACAACAACCAGACGGACATGCGCAATAAAATAAAATAAAATAAACGAAATGGCTAGTATGTATTCAATATCATATGACCGTTCTACCAATAGGTGCAAATATTCATATAAACACTGATGACATGTTTACCATTTATAAAAGAACCGTACGTGACTGTCAAGGGTAAGGGAATTTGAAATCAGAAATATAACTTTAAAATGAAAACACACTGATATCGGAAACAATTTTACATAAATTATCTTCATCAGTTGGCGTTGTCCAAATATAAATATTGCAGCATTTTTTGCTTGCATTCCGAATTAATAAGTGCTCAAAAACAGCACTGTAATTAACTGATTAAGTCGAAACAAACCTTGGTGTGGCAAGACACGAGTTCCTCCAGCTGACTTCTCACTTAACATTACACACTAGAGTACATTCTACCTTGACAATGGAACAGGTGACCAGGGTTGAGAGAATGTCGTCTATCAGATGGGAACTAAGACAACTGTCTATCAACTGTTGTGCTCGTGATTTATGTGTCGTAACCATCACCACGATTTAACTTAAACGCCGACCAAATGATTCACAGCGCGAGTAGCCAATCAGCGATAACGTCACAGCTGGTAAATTCTCGGCAGTAATAAGAGGCTAGGCATGGTGTGACTGGCCGTAATTCACTGCTGCTAGCTCTAAAGCAGCTGGTCCGAAAGTTTCAGTTTTTGAGAAGATAGTTATTTTAAGTAATGAAGTCGTAAAGCAGGCGTGGTTCTGGCTGTTGAGTGGTAGTATTACGTTAACCTTGCCAACTTATTCAAATTAAATTGAAGCATCGAGTGTATAAATAGATAACACCACGGGATTTTGCGAGTTGTTTCGGACTACGCCTTCAAAACATTCCACTGTACCGTCGCCAGCCGGCAGCGATACAAGAGATATTAATAAAGAGAGAACTGACGTAACCATAGAGCTTTGTTCCTTTACTGTTTATATAAGTGCCGAATACGGCCAGCAGTAAAGTAATTAATCCCAAAAGATTATAACTGCGGTTACTAAACTTTCACAGTCGTATTATATGTACCATATACTACAAATAAGCTCCGTGGACACATTTGAAAAGCAGCAGTTAATGTATACGTGGATCCAAAGATTTAAACATATTTAACAGAGTTGCTTGACTGGGTGTTTCATCACAGTAGTAGACGTCCTAAAAATGAAGTCGATTCATTCATTTTTGGTACTGCCAGTACACAAAAATTCGCACCCAACTGTAATACTAAATGCGTCAGCGAACCATTCCAGAACGGTTTGGTTATCGTTAATTAAAATTCTACTAACAAATCTCCGGTGCGATTATTTTAAAACCATATTCAATATACAAGCACCATCCATTCAAACAGTTTATTTTCAAAATTGAGGGAATCACATTTATGACCCTGCGCATTAATACAAGCTTCACTACGGTGATAAGGGGGACGTTGAGATCTAAGTATTCTAAAACTTACATACGATCAATTACAATGAGTAACAAATACAACGTCAATACCATGTATATATGGCTTAAAGGTCACACGTTAATCAGCATAACCACACGTTATAACCGCATGAATAGACTATTTCGATTACACTAACTCGTTATAAGTGAACGTTAACGTCAATTCGAATTCATGCATGACAAACATACGCACTGAAGAATCCAAGCAATTGATCGATCCATGTTATTAGATACTAGGTGACAAACATGGACATACGATACCACAAATATAAGTAATGATAGCGCAGCAACTTCTAACAACATGATAAACGTGATACTGCAATATTAGGATGTCGAAATATACACAAATTGATACATTGTACTACAAGTAACGTTTATTTAAGGCAATGTACTCCAACAATACATTACTGTCTCTGCGCAACCAGATTTCTCTATATCCCCCAAAATTTTATCCATCTTTAACATTTTAAAATCTCTCCATTGCCACCAATGTAATATTACTAGTATCCGTTCATACACATCACGGATTTGAACTGACAACACTGTTTAAAACACCAAATTTAGTGTAACATTAGACGAGTTACCTGGCGCCGAAAAAAAACACGCGATTCGCAAACATGTGTCTAACCTAATTTTCCGCTCAGAAGGGAATGACATTACACACAAAAACCAAAGCCATTTTTATTCAGACACGTTGAAATTAGAAATAATAGGGAAATTATACACGGACTAATTCTGAATGAAATTGATTATTCCGCAAATTAAATGTTAATTAGTTGACAGTTATATCTACGATGCACGATGTTGACAGTGCGTATATTTTAGAATCTATACATGTATATTGCCTTAGGAGTTTAAATACGGGTATATTTTATTGTAATATACGCATTTCCATCGCGTACCATTAAATGATCACTATGAACTACGAAAATTATTCACTATGCATGGAGAAATCGTGCAGACCGTCTTTAACACGGCAATGAGTTGACTGAACGCATCATGGACTGTCGGCTTTTGGTTGATGTAACTTCTTTAAATATTCGTCTTTGAGTAATCGTTGTACATTTGATGGTTTCACTGTTTAGCATAATTTCCTGTCTATTGCGTCATTAACACTTCACTCATTTTTTTGCTGCAATTGAAACATAGTTCGATGCATCACATATTTAATACATTTGAATTAATCGATAAATGGCATGGTTTCTGGTACGTAGAGGGCGCCAAAATGAGCTCTATGTCATTCACTACTTCTTTCGCATATCTAAGTCTCCGGACGAACACAATTCAGTTAAATAAAAACAGGTTGTATCTTTAGTGATCAGCGTACCGCGGTGTGCGGTGATTTAACAAGATAACTGCGCGATAATATCACGTGCAGTACGTATACTCACGCTCCTCATCCTTGATACTGATAGAAGTACTCCACAAGAAGTATACCTTTATCGCATTTTCTGTACCATGGAATCGAGGCCTAATTATAGCTGATCACTTTTTGATAGATATCATCGTATCATCGTATATGAATGATTATTGGGGTGTGTAATGATAATCACAATATATCATATACGACAATGAGTTCATAATTGGTATCTAGACAAATGACGCAAACGAATAGGCGTTGATACTCAATCATTTGAAAAAAAATTACATATCTTCTTAGTTCTATGTTTAAAATTATATACGTTGATTGTTCAAGTCAGTACACTATAAAATTACCTATTTAATACGTTGCCACACGTAATTCGGAACTGAAGCTTTTTGAAAGACGCGACATTTCACTCTATGTGTTCATAAATCAATCAGCAGTTATGACCAATTTGCGTTTCTTTTTTTTAGTTCTTCTTAAAAATACCACGCCAACAAGTAA